TTTCATTTCTAACTGCTATCAGACGACAGGAACATTCTTCAGCCACCCAGGAAGTTTGCACAGTCAATAAGTCGAATCCCAACACCCAATTCACTACCAAAGTTGCCAATAGCAAAGCTCCCGCTCTTCACAATGCGCAGGCTCACATAAACAAAGCTAGACGTTTTTCACTCACCGTCGGTAGTAACAGGTAATAGAATATCATACACAGATCAAATGAAAAGCAAAAGATTTGAAGGTAGCTGTTAAAGGGACACTGACACCCCCCAAAATTTTTTTTTCATTTTTTGCCAGGCGCTTTATTATGGTGTCGGAGGACTAGCCAATTAATATTTTGCAACAGAGTAGCGTATTTTTTTAATAAAGCCAAAAGACGCAACTGCTCGAAACCGAAACCAAAACCCGACGGAGGTCGGAGAAGTGGAGAGAAGAGAGTGGAGTGGCGGAAGTCACGTGGCTACACCCGACCGTGCGGTTTTTTTTTGTTTTTTTTCTCCTCTCCGTAGCAGACGACACGATATGCGGCGTACGGGAACTGTTCGCCGTGTGATTCTTTTGCAGTTATGTTTGTTCCGCTCGTTGTTCTGTACTTGTTTTGTACATTGAGGAGTTGGAGATGAGTAGTGAGTGCCCGTGGTGAATTTCCATGATCGGCTCCGAAACGAATACACCCAAGATGTTGCGTGAAGAGCTGGCTTACATGTCCTGCGTCCGAAAAAAAGGGGCATTGTGCAACAGAGTTTCCGAAAGATCAACGGGATCGGGACCAATGGCTGGCTGCAATTCCTGTAGAACATTTACGGGCACCTCGGAAAGCGGACGCTACCTGATTTATATGCTCCTTGCATTTTGTGGAAAGTGATTACATTGAGTTCGCAAATGTCAAAAAGGAAATCCCATACCATTTAATTCAGCGAAGTGTCGTCCACAACATTTGCTTGTTATTTTTTTGTTTGTTTCTTCAGTGATAAAAAAAAAAAGATATGTAAACATCGAAAAATGTTTAAAAAAGTTTCACGGGGGATTGAACCCGGCCCTACCGCGTCTGAAGCGGACGTCTTTCCCACTGGGAATCTCAACACTGGTGGATCTTTTTCCTTAGTAATATTTGAGCCGCTAAACTGTAAGTCTGAAAGTTTGCTGCCGTTTTTTCTCTAGCAAAAGCACTCCCGGGTCGAAGTCGGGAAGCACCACGCATTGGCGACATTCGCACCTAGTAAAGAAATCGTACACGTGCATATCGAACTCGAAGTAGACACGTTGTGCTCGACGTTAGCGCGAGCGATGTCTTCAGCCACAAGAAGGGAGCGACGGCTCGGCGACGTCTTCGTGCAAATCGGCTTGGTTGTCGGGCATGTCGTACGTGATGAATACCAATTCTTTTAATAAGTCCCAAATTTCTTTTTTAAAGGTAGACGGAATTCGCCGGTACCGCGAACGACAGTTCTGAAATAGAGGTCCCACGCCCGTCGTTCGCTGCTATCGCCATTCCCGCGAGTCCCACGATACGCGAAACGACGAACGCACAGAATGCTTCCGGTTGTCTGTGGAACTTTCTTTTTCAATCAACGTGTTTGCAGCTTTTTAGAAGCCACAAAAAAATGGGTTTCATATTTTTTTCTGTTTTTAATATTGAGTGTGTGCCTTCAGTGACCCACGACTTTGATTAAATTTGGTGGTCGCATCGATACCTTAGAAAATAGCCCGTGACCGCGGAAAAGAGAGTGAGCGAGCCTCGAACCGGCCAGTTCTTGATCGGCGGTTTTCAGGCGGAAAGGAACCGAATTTCGAGCCACAAATTGTGCTCTGGGTAGTTGAGCTCTCATATGTGACGTACAACTAAAAACCTCGGCGAGCATAAATACCCTGTCAGTGTCCCTTTAAATGAAAGAAATCTTAATGAAAGAAGATTGAGGGCACAGTTGAGCTGGTGAATACTATACAACATAATAAATAGGAGACACGGAAACAGGAAGGACGTACACAACACTGCAGAGACGGTGTTGTGTATATCCTTTTTGTTTCTGTGTCTTCGGTGTATTATGCAGCTAAAATCTGAACACCCGGTCACACATTTTTCCAGACTAAAGCTTTGAATTCCCCAGAAATCTAGCGAAAAAAGAGTGCAGCCCACCCTCCTGTCCGTTTGGATCCATTCCGTGGTCCAACAAAAGTTGAACCATTTCGAGGCATCCATCACTGCAGGCTTGCACGAGAGCTGACCAGTTGCCCCGAGAAGGCATTTGAACTGCGACACCTGCGCAAGCAATCAGCATACATATAATAAAAAAAAATACAGAAACCCAAGAAATACAGTTTCATCAATACGCGGTATATGGTTCATTATAAGTCGTCACAAAACACATTCGTGCTACAGCTTCCTCTTGAGCATGATGGCCATGCCATGTTATAGTGGCTTATTTTTAGTTGAAAGATTCCTCGTTGCACAATGTTATCCTGGCTACAAGTTCATGTCATGGTGTACTCTTCATAAAACTAAATTAGAGAAAAAAGCCTTAATAAATATGTTGAAAGCTTGCTGGAAAGATAATCCCCGGTTAATTACTTGAACATAACTACTCTCAAAAAGCCACACGCTCGTCACCCCACGGGTACTTCAAACCGCTCGGTTGTAACACATTGACGCTATTGACACCCCCCAACACTGACAATGCCACCAACGGCAAAGCTCATAACCCCGCCAGCCTTGCTACGTCATGAATGCAGGGAATCTTTTTTTTTTTTTTTTCTATGGTTTGTTTGCGCTGGATATCCCATGACGCATCGCGCTCTCCTTTCGCTTCCCTTCGAGCGCTTGCTCGAGAGCACCATTTGGAATAAAAAATATAGCAAGTCACTCAAAACACAAATGTGGGATTAGCATTTATGGTTATTCATTTCCGAAAGAAATTTGAATATTTCAATTTTCGTTTCCGTATCCCTTTAAGACCGAGTGCCTTGGAACGTCTTAAAATCGCTTACGACGAGAGGACACGCTGGCGCCATCTATTGGATAGCAGTGGAAACTTGGCGGTCCCGTATATTTTCAATTTATCGGGCGCTTCGTTCTTCCTTTCTTTCCTCAAAAAAAAAAAAAAAAAAAAGAACCTTTTGTTAGCGTTATAAACAACCCTTTCTCATAGGTATTACGCACATTTGACCTCAGAAATCTCTTAAAACCTTCGCTCTTGTGAAATGCAGCGGATACAGGAATCCCTGCACTGTGATGACAGACATCAAAGAGAACTCGAGAAATCATGCAGATGTAAAACAATAATAAACGACTACTTTGAACGTGCCTTGATCGAGCAAATCCCGGACCATGGACACATTGCCTCGCGAAACAGCCACCCGAAAATCTTCCTGCAATTCCGCAGGCACCCGAATACCGACATGGACGGAGTCCTCAGGATGTTCATGTACTCCGTAAGCGGTGTAGTCGTGGTCCAGCGTGGCTGTTTCTGCCGACGGGAGCTGCCACTGCTCCGCAGAAAGAGCTTTAGTCGGCTGCGAAAAGAGATCAAATCGGAATTTAAAAGAAGCCACTTCAAAGCGGTTGTCGAGAACAACTGACCGAAGTCCGTGTCTTTGCTTTGCTGTTGTTTAAGTGGAAATCGTCGTCGGCGAAAACAATTTCGTCCATCTCAGAACCCGACGAATCGAAGTCAACATAGTCAGCTGGTAAGCCCGACATGACTGCCGTTTACTCTAACGTGAGTTGTTAAAAAACAAGTCTTTGTAACACTGCAACTTTCGACCTGCAACTTTCGAACTTCGTTGGTTGTGGCGGTTGGTTGGTTTTCCACAAATCCGGCCGAACGCCGAACCAGCCGAACACGTGGATGACGGCCGACCCAAACACAAGAGCCACAGCGCTTACTGGATTACACGATTACACGTTATGAAGCTTATGAAGAGTAGCTGGAGTGAACATTGCCAACATTGCCCTTCAATAAGACGTTAGAACTTGAAAACGCCACAATATTTTTATACCGAAAACAGAGCCGTATATGTAGAGAGTTTGGTCAATGGGAGGCGCAGGCAGAGCCAGGGCGTGCGGCAGACTCGGAAAGAGGGCTTGGCATGCTCTGTTGACCAACCAGAAGCCGAAAAGGATCCCCTAGTGGTGGTAGCGAGAAACAGTTCTGAGCCGATCGATCATCTAAGGTCTATGCTCGTATGTGGTTTTAATAAGTGCGTAAGAGTGAAGTGTAGTAACTTTTTGTGGTTGAAAATAGGGAGCACGTGTTGTTTCATCATGATCATGCAGAAAGATGTAAGAAACGAATGCGCCGCTCAACTCTCTTTTGCGCGGACAGAGTGTGACCGCTCTGACGGCAGATTCCCGGCGCTCGGCGTTTGGCGTAAGGATTATGTCGATCTTTCCGCTAGTCGCACTCTTCCACCATCATTTTAGATGAGCGTGATCACTTGAGATCAGTGAGCGTGATTGAAACATCACGTGTACCATATTTTCAGCCATTGAGAGTTACTCCAATGCAGTTATCAGGTTTGTTTCTCGCGACCACCGCCAGGGTATTATTTCCGGCTTCTGGTTGGTCACATTCGAATTTCTGAAGACGCCCTGGAACACGCCCAGCCCACTTTCGGCCAATGGCGCCGCTTCATTTGTCTCCTATACTTCCCAACGAATGGCCAAACTCTCTACATATACGGCTCTGACCGAAAAGAGTTATGATAGTAACATTTGTAAATGTAGCACTTTTTCTAATTGAGCGGTAACCATCGCCACCTAGTTGGATAAAAGGTAACTGCTACAACTTTTATATTGGGCCAAGAAACTAAAAACCAATTTTGTAACTATCACCGGGCAAAAAAAAAAAAAACATTATTTTTTCTTTTTTTTTTAACTTACAAGCTTTACAAGCAACTTACAAGCTTTACAAGCAGCAGTTTTAACTTACAAGCTCAAGGTGTAATCCAATCCAAGCCAATATACCTTGCTGCGCGCGCGCGCGAAGACAACCGGGCCAATCGGGCAGTCACCGTCGTGTCGTCGTCGTCATGACCGCGAAAATGGAACGAGCTGCGGATAGCCACGAACGCCTTGCAGCCTTGCTAAGTGAAATGCTCAACGACAAGGTGACCCGACGAGAAGTTGAAGCCCCGACGAGCGAATTTATGACGAAAGTCTTCTACGGCGTCTTCAAGGAGGCGGGCCTGAACAAGACCGCCTTCGAAATGCCCCAATTCCTTGTGCCGGCACACGTGAGCAGCTTCGTGCCAACATAACACCTCAACAAACTGATGCAGGTGGTCTTTACGAAGCTGGGCGTCCCCAACTTCGGCCTATCCGACATTAGCGAGCCGGTGCCGAAGCGCAGTCGTAGGCTGCTCTCGATACTCTGCAACTTCTGGGTGCGACTGGGTCGGCAGTGGAACATGTGGTCAGACATCGAGGTGGGCCTCGCCGCCGCGAAAACTGACCGCGAAGCCAAAAGAGCCGAGCTGGACGCGGTCAAGGCCAAGGTCAACCAGCTGTCCCAGCATCCCGGCATCAACCCGGAGAGGCTGGCGGCAGCGCAAGGGGAGCTCGCGGCCGAAAACAAGGCGCTGGCGACCAAGGAGCCAAAGCAGGCGGTTGTGATGAACGACTACAAGAACTTAAAAATTGCCAAATGCCAGGTGACCGAGCAGCTGAAGAAGAGGTTTGTTTTTGTCGCTCCTATCTATTGAGTCGACGAGTACTGACACGAAAATGCCGAGTTCTCTGGTTCGCATGATTAGTGGGTAAGCCGCTAGACCCAAAAGCTGCCTGCCTTTGTTTCCACTACACTCGTCGAACGCGTCCGAATGCGAAAGGCAAATGGCGGACGCCGGAGTTCCGCGTTCTAAAGCGTTTAATCAGTGCAGTGGAGCTGCCTGAGGTCTCCCCACTAGTCCTTCCAGCCGGAGCTCTGGCTACCTCAGTTTTTCGGCGCATTGTCCCATTTCCTATTTTCCACCAACATACAGTGCCTAAGGGACCTTCACAGTGCCTCCTTTCAAGCATTTTTCAAAAAATGAACTGTTGGGTAAACACGGCACAAACATAATAATAATCTTACTTCAATGCTGAGGGGTTGTGACAACACAGAAGGGTCATTCGCCCATGTCTGGGGCCTGCAGCGACGTGTAATGAGGCAATTTTTCTCAAATGTTTGCAGCTTTCCGTGCCAATACTGCATGAGAATGTCGCTTTGATTGCACCTTTTCTACAAATTCATGCAAGCAGGCAAATGACCAACCTAAATGGCAGCCGTCCAGTTGCTCTTCCGTTTTAGTCCAGTTTTAAATCGTGGCAGATGAGAATTGCTCCTTTGATCACCTCAAAATCCTGTTTCGATTTGTTTCAGTTTCAATGGTGTGAACATAAGAATTGACCAGTACAAAGTGGCGACCCATAAGTCCCTCGATTAAATATCTGCCAACAAAAGCCTTTAGAGCAAAGTTTTTTGTGGTAAGAGAGTGGTGTAGCACAATGACATATTGAACATTCAGGCCTCATATGTCCTCGGCTTGTGGTAGTATCTTCTTTCTTCCTTCACCAGGCTCAAGAAGGCTGCCATTAGTTTGTCACAGATGTCATACATAGATGGATGGATGGATGCTAACGACTGTACCCTTTATAATTGGCGGTAGCTTGCGCCACCTACCCGCGGTGGCGGTTGGGATCAAACTTGCCACAGTGAACTTCGAAAAGGGTCTGTGATCTCGCGGTCTGCCACACCCTGTGCATTTTTTGCAGTGAGGTGGAGGTCCTCGACCTGAAGTCTGCAGTGCACGACGTCCGAGCCAGAATCTGCCGTTCGCTGGAGCGGCAGCGACGGTGCTTGGCTGAGGAAGTGGAGACAGCGTCCCAGCTGCAGGAGGAGCGTCGTCATCTGCAAGCCAGGGTAGAGGAGTTGCGCCGCAAGATGCAGAAGGCTCCGAGAGACCGAGAGGCCTTGACCAAACTCAAGACCCAGCTGCTCTCCAGCCTGGCCGTTGCGCAGCGGCTGGAGTCGTTGGTGCAGGACAAGGACAAAGCGTCCGCGCGCAGGTCTGTCCCGTACTCCGTCTTTTTTCATAGCCCTCCGTCGCACCGCACTTGGTGTCCTAAAACCGCCGTGGTGGCCTGGGCGGTTGTCTTGCGACGAGTTTGCTGCGACTTGTAACGTCGGAGTTCGGTGAGACTCGTAACGTCCTTGGGAACATCCGGAGCTTGCTTAAAAAGTGCTCTTCTCTATCCGTGTTGTTTTGAGGTTGGTTCACGTATTGATCGTGCTGCACTCGCTTCCAGCCAGCTGCGACCAGAGGGCGCACTGGCGCTTCCATTTTGCCTAGTATATATTTTCTGCCCTGCCGCAACGCAACTGCCCCCCGTAATCTCGTGGCTAAATAAATGTTTCCTCTCATGCTCGTACAATCTAATTTTTTTATGCATCATTCACTTACCGTGGTCTCGAAATAATTCTGACAATGTTATAGGCAACCATTGCTCGTATGTAATGCATAGATTTGATCTCGCAAAAACTGCGAACCCTTGTCTGTGGACTAGACGTGCTCCGGGGCTGCCTGACAGATGGTGCTCGTGTGCCCTCATTGTAAGCAGTTGCGAGAGATCGCGCAACACGCTAAATGCATATGTGTAAACAAGCCTTTAAGCGTAATTCTACAGGGTGTCACAAAAGAAAATTTACACGGTATTTTCTACCGCAAAAATAAACTATGCATCGCCGAACGCTCATTCTCCGCCCAAAGGTAGCGCTAGAGGTCACAACCAGATGCCAACGTTTCAGCCCGATCCGATAACTTAATCAAAAGTTATAAGTGATTTTCTGAAATGTTCAATGGAAAAATGGCGGCCGACGGAGTTCTCAAACACATGGGGCTCTATGGCACCAGAAACCGAAAACGAGCAAAAATGGGCTCCATTTTCCCATTGAAATTTTCAGAAAATCACTTATAACTAGGGTTCGGAGTTTTCGGTTTAAACCGATAAAAACCAATAAAAGTACGCCGAATCCATTTTCGTAAATTCGGTTTTAACCGAAAAAGGTCAGGTTTTAGGTTTGGCCTTTTCGATTTAAACCGATAAAATCCGATAAAAGTACGTCTAATTCATTTTCTAAAATTCAGTTTTAACTGGAAAAGGTCACTGGTGACCTTCCAGTCGTACCGCAAAGCCTTGGCGAAAAAGGGGAACGACAGCGTCTATCGAAACCTGTCCGAATGTATGGGATACGCGGATGCCATCACTACGTTTTGGTTTAATGTGCGCATCATCACACATTAAATCAAAACGTGAAGTTAGAAATGCTCCATGACTTCGCCATGTACGAGCGCGTTTCAAACTCGCTGTGAGAAAAACTGACTTGATTCAAGCTCTTCATGTTGTGTTGCGCTTCAAAACGCCGCACCGTGTCTCTTTTGGCGGTCACAATTGGTTGATTGGCCGATTTTGGCTCAGGTGCGCTTCACCTCCTCAGCCTGCCAGTGTCCAGTGTTAGCGTTGAGAAGGCATCCTCGAAGCTCAGGGTCATATTAACAGGCAAGAAAGGGTGCGGATCAACGAGGAGAACCTGGGAAAGTACATGTGTGTGTACTATAATAAGATCACGTAATCCTGATGTACAAAAGGTGAAGTTCCATGTTATTTCGGCATAGGCTTTGTATCTGACTTGCTTGTACTTCTGTTGTTGTTTTCTTGTTTCCTTTACAGTTGCACATATTTGCCAAATAAAGTGTCCGTTTATGTTTCAATGTATCTGTGCCGTTATTCTTTGAGTGATCACAAATATCAGAGTTAGAAGGACCATCTTATCCGGTGTCCGTTGGTGTTCATTTTATATTCACCGAAAAAAGCCGATAAACTTTTGTGGGCATAAATATACGCCGAAAAAAACCGAAAACTGAGTTTTAAAATAAACACCGAAAAAAGTACGCCGAATTTTGAAAAAATAGAAATCGAAAACGAGGAATTCTACTTATAACTTTTGATTAAGTTATCGGATCGGGCTAAAACTTTGGCATCTGGTTGTGACCTCTAGCTGTACCTTTGGGCGGAGAATGAGCGTTCGGCGATGCCTAGTTTATTTTTGCGGTAGAAAATACCGTGTAAATTTTCTTTTGTGACACCCTGTATATCAGTAATAACTAACCAAATATAAATTTTTTTTGTTTTCTTTAGGGGAGCATTTTAAAGGCAGGTCTACGCTTTTGTATTCTCTGCTTTGTTTTATCGGGGGGAAAGTTCCACCGCCTTTGCGAAAAGAGGGGGAGTGCGCATGCGCAGCCTTGGGTGCAGCTCGAAGCACGTGAGCACACGTGTTCCCACACCTTTGACTGCATTGCCACAGAAAGTCGTCCCCGATTATCGCAGAATCCGAGAAAGTTGTCCCCTCTCCAACTGCTTGAGTTATGCTCTTGTCCCCGTACCTTTGGTAACACTGCTTGTAACTGTAATCATTGACAAAGTGACAGCGGCTGGAAGGAGCTGTTCTTGCTTTGATTTGCACGTGCTTTTGAACGCAGGAAGAGTGCGAAGGACAAATACCACCGCCTGCTAAAGGAGAGGGAGGCAGAGGCCGAAAAGAAGAGCAAGCTGGACGGCCAGACGGCGTTCCAGCACCAGGCCATGCAGTCCATGCTCAGTTTCAAGAAGGAGCAGTTGGCCCAAGCGAAGCAGTGCCTCGAGGAGCTCAGTCTCGAGCGCCAAGAGCTGGTCTGCTATAAGGATTCCGAGGTCTGGCACTGCCAGCTGGCCGCCATTCTATTGTAGGCAAGGAGGTTATAATGGGCACGAGGTGGCGTAACGTCACGGAAGTGGGCGTGGACAAAAAGAGTCCCCACAGCCTTTCGGCCAACAGGAAAATAGTTCCGTGTGCTCTGCTTTTTGTGCCAACATAGGCAACGCTCATGCCCTCCCCTCCCTCCTCAATACGTGACACGCTTCCTCTTTGTCAAGTTGAGCGCCAAAGAGAAAACTTCTGCTGTATCCTGCGCAACAAAGGCTGCTTGCACTCAGCACCGTGCAACATACGGCAGTTTGCTCTTGGATGTTCCATTCTGGTTGTAGAACTGCAAAGGGTGCATTTTTCACTCTTCCTACGAAATTCGCACGAGTGTGCAGGTTGCTTTGCCATATTTGGGCATCTTCTTCTGCGGGCCCCCAAATCCTATATTACTAATTTTAGGCGAAATCAGATGAATGCAATGTCCCTTCGTGTCGGTTTGCACCGGAGAAACCCGCGTCTCGTTTCGTGCACATCCTACCGTTTGGTGCCTTGGTACAACTGTGATCGGACAGCATAAAGGTTTCCGTTGCACTGTGTCCCACTGCTTGTGCATGGGACGCCTCAAAAATAATTTACGGAATGTTTTTCTCCACAAAAACAAACATATTGCCGTTTTCTGCCTTTGCCCGAATATGGCACTAGCAGTCCGGTCCAGGCGCCAGAGTCCCAGAACTATCTTTTTTAATGGTTGTAAGCAATTTTCTGAAATTGGCAGTGGGTAAATGGCAGCTATGTGGGGATGAACGGCGTCATTTCCCAAAAACGGGCCCTTTTTTCCACTTAAAGGGCCCCTGAAAAGAAAAATCCTTTTTTTTAAACAATCTGGTTGAGACTCGCATGTCAAAAAATACATTTTAAGCAAAACAAAAAAAAGTCTTAGAGCAATATTGACGGAGAGAGGTTTATTTGAAATTCTGCACGCGAAGTTCATAATGTTGCAGGTCATTCCGGAATGACTATCTCGATCGTGAAGCCAATCCACATCTCCTCCACGCACCCGAAATGCAGAGAGAGAAAACAAGTGGAAAGGAGGTGACTGCCAACTAAATAGTGTCTCTCACCATCAATATTGCTCTAAAAAAAATTAAAAAAATGCACAGAAAATTAAGTTTTTGAGTCTCGTGTCCCACCCAGACTGTTAAAAAAAGATTATTTTTTTTTTCTTTTCAGGGGCCCTTCTTTTCTGAAAATCTGTTCACTTTTTATAAGGTAACTGTTAGTTCTGAAGCTGGCATCTGGTTTGAGCCACTAGCGCTACTTTTGGGCAAAGTCTGAGTGTTCGGCGATGCATAGTTTATTTTCCGGGTGAAAAAAAAACCCTGTAAATTTTTTTCGGAGGGACATGCTGTGTTTGCCTCCTTGCATGCTGCGTTTTACACTGTCCGATCTCTGCTCAGGTGGCAGGCTTGGATGCTGAAATCCGTCAAGTCCAGGACGAAGCGAAAAAGGTTCGGCAGTCCTTGGCGGACAAAGTGGCCGAGACACGACTGAACTCCCAGCGGGTCTTTGCGAGACACGAGGCCATGCTCACAATGGCCGAGAAGGTGTTCTTTCCTGAGGAAAGAACCCTCCAAAGATGCGGAGTGTGCATCTAATCTGTAATGACCGTGTCCGCACCTTTTTTTTTTTTTGCTTTGTATTTTTTTAAATGAAAAGTCTTGGTGTTCGTCATTTATGTAGTCTTTCTAACACAAGTCGAGTCTCCTGGCACGCTTCGCCTGAGCGGGCTCGCTCCTATGCGGCAGTGCCACCTTGGTTGGCACTGGCCCATTGAGGAGGTTTTGAGAGCAATGGGGAAATTCACTCTTGTTTCGTGCTTATCAAGGGCAGTATGACACAAAAGCGAAATTCTTCCTTGCTCTCAAGACCCTCGCAGCTAGCCTGCGCTGATGATAGCGGAGTTGCCACATGGAAGCGAGCCCACTTCGGCCACACATGCCGTGGGCTCTGGACTTTTGAAAAAGACTACCTTTGCCTGTACCTTTGCTCGCTTTGGTTCAGTGAAACTTCACAATCTGAAAGCTATGGCCACAGCAAGCCACTAGTGTTGTATTGCAGCATGCGACGATGGATTTGTGGAGTGCCTTCTGGTGGAGCGCTCTATGCCAACAGTTCTGAAACTTGTAATTTTTTTAAGCATGTTCGCATTGCTGAGTCTGCCTTCTGAACAGAATGCAGTGCATTAATAGATATTTAACACAAAGGTTGCATGGTGTGAGAACATTTTACTAGGCATAATGCAAGTTTTTATCGTTGTGAAAACTCACTGCCTTGCTCTGCAATTGCCCAGTACAAGTAGGTGTTTACACAAAAAGCTGTCCCAGGATTTTAATTTTTACCATACTTTTTTCTTATTTCCTAATTTTGAAGTCAAAAATAATTGTTGCTTTCTTTCTTTTTGTTTAGTCTTCTTTTTCATTTTGTATATGTCCTTGCACTTCTGCTTTATCTTCCTTTTACTCTTCACTAAGTATCAGTTACGAGTCGGCGCCTGTCCGTGTCTTCTACTTGTCCTTGTCTTTAGCGCTACTTTTAAATTCATAATGTATAACCAACTAGCCCGTCACATGATCCTTGTCCCAAGAAGTGTTACTTTTTTTTTTTCCATGTGATTCAGAGGTTTGTTGGTACTAGAGGCATATTGCTGGAGTCTGAGGCCCACTTAGGGTTTAGTTTACCACCAGTTATCCCAAACTCTGCCAAGTTCTGGCTTGAACGCTTCCAATGCTGCATCGTGCATGTGGTGATCAATGCATATATTTAATGTTGGTGTGCATGCTGTATCAATTTCATAAAAGCATGTAACAAGTGTAGTCATATTCCTAAATTACTTCTAAAGCATTGGATTCTCCTCTGGGTTTAGTTTGTATTGCTTATTAAACCAGAATACTTATTTCTCTTTTTAAATACCGGAATGTACCTGTAATGATTTATTATAACTCTGGCTCTTGATCTGCTACTTGTGCATTTTTATGTCTTTCCACAATAGGTTTATTTTTCATCTGTTTTATGGAAACAACTTCAGTGCACCAATGTCAAAACCATTATGGTGTTTTTGGGGATGCCAGCAACATCAAAGGCTGGATTGACTGAGGATATTTGAGAACTTTGGGAATGCAAAGCCTCTGGGTTCCTAGGTAGAGGTTTGAGAACTTGTGCATTGGGGTTAAAAGGCTTGTACGGTGATGGAAGCAACATTTTGCTTGGAGCAGTCATGTGTTTTTTTGGAGCAAATCCTAATGTGTGTTAGCACATCACTTTAAAATTAAATAATTGCACTGCTAAAAGGGCCAATCTTCGATAATAATGCAGGGTTCAGCTTTGATATACAAATGTTTTACTTGCTACCTTTTGTAATTATACAAATAGTCATGAAAAGCACATGACACACAACTGTATTTTAGAATGCTCAGGTCAAAGTAGGTTCTGTTTACAATAGAAATAAAGATTGAAAATAAATTATAGCAAAATACTTCACGCTTCTCCCACTCCCTCTTTTATGTGCATAGTTAATGTTGCCTATCAATATCATTTATGTAAAATCAATAAACATATGTGGAAGGGATCGGTGGCAGAGTGGGCTAGTGCACACCAGCTTGGAGCACGTGGAGAAAAACCTCATACTGCAGAATCCAGGGAACTTCGGTTCCATCCCCACCTCGCCCATTTCCATCTGGATGATCATTGTACTGGCTGACCCCAGGCTAGAGTCAACTGCTCAGTGGAAACTACCTTGTTTACTTGTTCAAACATAAGTGCATTTCTTGTTTCCTTTTTTTTTGTTGGCACTGTTCTTTGAAATTAAAAGTCAACCTACAATCAAGAAAAAAAAGTGATTTGTAATAGTACAGCGCATAATTTCTGAGCCCATCGTGCTAACTTACAGGTGCTAGGCCGCACAAGTCACTTCCCCCAACGCACCAATGCGATGCAGAGAAGTTTGATGCATGCGTGACTGTGCAAGGTGGTCAAGGTGTAGAGGCATGTGGCGGAGATGATGATTGAGAGATCTCATCGGGAGTACGAGACCTTGGTTCTGTCTTAGAGCTACCGCTATACCACCATTTTATTAATTTGAAAGTGATAGCTTTAAGGAGCTTGTGTCGCAGAATGGAAAAATCCTGATTGGTCGATAGGGTCAACATCCCAGCCACACAAACTCGCGTGGGAATTTCAAATGCTCACGTGGAATGAAAGTGACTAAAACGTGACGTGTAATGTAAATTCAAGGTCACTGCATGTCTCAAATGATTTCACTCTATAAAGCAGGGGTTCTCAAACTTTTTGGCTTCGCGGAACCACAGGAAGCCTCAAAAACTGCCGCGGAACCCCCCCTTCCTCCATATTTGCCCACCGAGAAGCAACAGATGCATAATTGTAGGCAATTTTGCTTGTGTTGCTTCCCATATATCCCCACCATATCAATTGCAATGTCAGTACAAAATTACAAAATGAGATGAAGGTGCTTTGCATGGTCCTGCTGCGCAGCCTGCAGCATGGGGGGGGGGGGTTGCAATTTGGGTGTTCATGGAACCCATGAGACCAGCTCGTGGAACCCCTGTGTTCCCCAGAACCCAGTTTGAGAACCCCTGCTATAAAGCAATACATTTGCCTTAAAGAAAAATTAAAAAATAATTTTAGGCGGCGGCAGGATTCCAATCCATGACCTTTTGGTTGCGAGCCAGACATGCTAGCCACTAGGCCATGCAGGCAGGCTTGCATGGCTTGAGAACGAGTGGGTTTATATGTTTAGCTATCGAAGCTTAAGCGTCCTCTTGCAATTTTTTTCTTGGGAGTTTGAGCTCTGACATCATCGACATCATCTGCAAGTTCAGACGATGACATGGCCAGCATGGCCATGTCATCGTCTGAACTTGCAGATGATGACATGGCCAGCATGGCAGCGCAATAATTCCATCACTGCTTGCATCATTCCATCACATGGAGGTAAGAGGCATAGGCTCAAAAGTCAGATCAAGTGCTTTGGAACGCCTTACCTGATCACTTTGTAATTCGCATGAGATCTTGCAAGAATTCCTTTTGAATGGAATATTTTACTTGCAATGTCCGTGTATATAATATACATCCATAAAAAATTCACGATGGCTACCAGAGAGATTGCTCAGCTTTGAATGCAGTCTGATCACCAAGTAGTGCCTTACCTACAGTAGTCTGTGCTAGATGCCACCATTGGGCCACCTGCCCCCTTGATGCCAAAGTCGTAGCCGCAGTAAAATTAGGATGTAACTAGAATGATAAGAGCTCAATAAATATTTATTGCAAAGCGCATAACACTACAAAGAAACAAGCTCTGCACAGTTTAAAAAAACAAGCAATCTTGCGATTGAGCTTGAGGGAACGACTGCTGCAGCAACATCAAGCCGGCCGCTCCCAAATTCTGGGTTTCGCGGCACAGCCGTCATTTGTCTCGCAAGTGCGAGAAGCTGCGCAGTGATACCCGACAAAACACGGCTTTTTCCCCATCGCCGGAAGGCTGCCGCTTCTACGCCGACTTCTGTTGTTGATGAAAGGCTTGCAATCTGCTTCTATCGCCACTTCATGTCTATGGCTCTTCGGTGCGAGGAGACGTCGGCAGAATGGTCGAAGCGGACGGCCCTCCAGACGACGGGATTTAACCTCAGCAGCCTCCCTGCTTGGCGTCTGTCCCGGATCTCTTGGTGATCGACAACGTGGTCAAGAGCTGCGAGAGGGTTGTGCGATTTCTTAAATGGACGGCACGCAAGCAGCCCTTTGAGTGATTAACTATGAATCCACACTGCGCACCCAGAATAATTTGATGGTGTTTTCTTTACCAAAACTACCTATGCATCGTTAAGAGCTCAGATTCCACCCAAATGGGTCAGAACTAACCATTATCTGATTTTCTGAAAATTAAAATGGCAAAATGAGACCCGCTCTCGGTGGCCAATGCCATTCAGCTTCACGTGTTCGTGGGCATCTGGGCATCGTCAGCTGCCATTTTTCCAATTCAAATTTACGAAAATTGTTTTATGATGTTTGAACCAAATAACATCAAGCACCGACACTTTGACATATGGTCCGGACTGCTAGCGCCACTTTTGGGCAGAGACGGCAATTGGTGGTGCATACAGTTAATTTTTTGCAACAAAAAAAGAATTCCTATTTTTTTAAGAGACACTTTGTACATCTGTACTGTCCATGTTCAGACCCCTTTTTGTCCATTTAAAGGTCTACTCTTTCCTTGATAATGCAATTCCCAAAAGCCCCGACTAGTTGCTTGAAATGCTATTTCATTATTTAAATTTGTGCACCTGCTTAACACCGGTGCTACAGTAAATGTGCCAAATATGCAAAAAAGATGTAACTGATTGCCGGTACCATCCTGTTATTGCAAACTCGGGCTCACAATGCAACAGTAATACATTTTCCCTTAAAAAAAAGACAAACACCTGTGTAACTAGAAGAAAAAAAAAAATAGTTGTTAAAATAGTTATGGTAGTTAAAAAAGGATTCACCACATTAACATAAAAACAACTGGGCTTCGTCCTTAGAATAATCATATCTACGAGAGCACACTTGAAGTGGATGTTTTACACCATACTTTTACTGGAACAATAATCATAAAACGAATGGTTATGTATTGCTTGATCTTTTGCACTTTGCGAGAAGGTGCTTGAGAGTGCCGAAACAGAATGCTTACAACATCAATCCTCCCCACAAGTGGCCTGGCAATTCCAATTATCTAATTAAGCAACACTGTAGTCCAGTAATAGCATTGCACAATGAAGCAGACAAGCCAGTTAGACAACTAGAGTTTATCTATCCTAGGCATGTGCAAATATGAAGTGGATTTTGAGTTCGGAGCGAATAGTGGTTTTGGCCGAATATTTTCTAATTGAATATAAAATAGTTTCTCCAAACCTTTCGCTAGGCACCATGCTTAAATAAAAAGCAGCTGAACTAGTGAAGGTTGTTCCCGAGCTTCCACTTGTCCATTTCTAAGCTAAAATGATTTTTATCTAACAATATTTATGGACGGTGGCCTCAGAAAGTACAGTGCCCACATTCTTAAAGGGACCATGAAATGATTTTAAAATCGAATTTCATCCACCGCACGTCGTAAAGGGTGTGAAAAGAAACACAAAAACACAAAACTAGGGAGCCAAAAAAAATTATTTGCTATAGAACTTTTAAAAGAAAACTGGACTCTTTTGCGCCTTCCTTCCTTCGCCTGTTCACTACGATGCATCCGCGGAAATGGAGCACGTCAGCCAGATCCAGGTCGCCTATTGGGTAAGAGCCTACCTCACCAGCACCGCGATCGTAAACAATAAATAGCCGGCGAATGTTTCCTAAAAGTTTTGTTAAATAATATTCAGATCCACATTTTGTAGCATAATTAGAGATGTGTGGCGAAAATTGCCAAATTTGATAATGCTGAGAACCAAGCGCCATCTATCGTGTGGTAAACGAAGCAACCACTGCGCGTGCGCAGTAGGGCAGGGCCGAGTTCAGAAGGGTTATTTCCTTTGGTTTCCTTCCTCTCAGAACTCTGACTGACTGAACGTTTATTTTTCTACGTCTTCATCTCGCGCGTGCCGACTTCAAGCAGCAAGAAAAAAATGTACTTAAAGGGGTTATGACACGCCAAAAATAAAATATTACATAACTATACTGCTAGGACCCATTGTATGTTCCTATAATCCTGCTAAAATTGTTTTGAAAAAGGCGCGATAATTTCGTGGATAAATCGATTTATATGCGGGCCCCTCGGAGGGGCAGATCCGGGCGGACCTGGAGGCTGATGACGTAGCCAGCCTCCAGCGCGGTGTCTCCTTGCACGCACTCACAGTCTTGGCTCTCTTGGCGTCTCGAGCCTCAGCTTCCTCGTTTACCTTCCACGTTTCCAGCATCCGGTCTCTGACGATTACGTCTACAACATCGATCGCCTTGTCGAAGTGTTCGACATTGATCGCAGCAGCGATGAGAGTGATTGCTATCAAGGGACGTTGGAAGCTGTTCATTTTGACTGGGACCCGCTGGCGACGAGCTCCAGCGACGACGAGTTCGCCATGGTCACCGTCGTCCGGGAATGTCTCGCAGGCCCATGCAGGCTGGAAGGTCAACTGGCCGGGGTGCGAGAGCGAGAATAGCTTTCAGTTTACCGAGCTGTTTGAGCGGTTTTGTTCGTACCGCGACGAGAAGAGCTTGGGCGATCATGGGGGCGCCTAGAATGAGAGAGTGTTCATGGTCACGTGGTCTATGGACACCATGGTGTGACTAACTTGAGCAGTGTTGCCTGGTCGCCAGATGAAAATTATAAAAATTCGTAAATTGAATATTGCAATTATCAGAGCTCTAAAAATTGCGTAACTTGGTGTATATACTAAGTAGCCTATGAGCATTCCATTTCAAGAATAATCTATCCGTTTAATTTTCGTGTCATAACCCCTTTAAAACAGACCACGACGATCAAGAACGCTGGGTCCACAAACACCCGAGAAGAGCGACAACAGCCGCGAATCCCGCTCCTACGAAGCTCTCAGGATATAGGCCTAGCAGGCAATCCGACTCGGCGCAGCGTTGCTTCGTCGCAAGACCGTCTGTCTGCCCACGACCGGCTGGCGTGCTGAATGGAATATGCCCGCGCTACCCTTGTGGACCCTTCCCGTATTATAGTTTGATCGCTGACCTCAATTTTAGGTTAAGAGGTGAGGTCAATCTCTTCCTCTTGTTTTCCGAGGCAGGGTTGACGAACACTCGTCGAAAAGGGACCCTCGTCGATTCTCTCTTCTTGTTTTGTGTGATATAGAGCTGAAATAAACGCTGTATGGATTACCTTCGTAACACGGTATGTACACTTTATTATTGGTATGCCATTTTTATTCTGACAGACTGCACGTCACTGTCGAGCTGTAACAGTTCGTGGGAGGTATACGCGCAATACCGGTCCAACCTTTCTTTGCCGAGTGTCGCGTCAGTATCGAGTTGCAATCGTAAAAGATCGGTCCCGAAGCGCTTACCAACAGCGCGAATACAGCACTTCCATCAAACACGCGCGTCCGCTCCGAGTGTGAACAGGTATTTACGTGGCTCTTGCTGACACTCGTAGTTCAAACGTATCTTTTTTTAACGTCGGCTCGCTCCTGCATCTCCGAGACCGCGAAAAACGCCGCGGCAATTTGTTTCCATCTACGTCGCTTTGCAAACGACTGACAGTGGCCGCCTTTTACCAACAATGACAGTTGGGTTAACTTCTGGAGTCTTCACCGGAAGATTCGCTGCACTTCCCAACAGGCATAACGGCGTATTGGACTAGTCCCATGCTGTCGCTGTAGCGCAACGTATCTCATTGAATTTCGCTCAGCTGCGATGCGGCGATGAGAGGCGCCGATTCAGAAAATACGTCGGTGACATCGGCGCAGTAAAACCTACCGGCACACCCGAACTCGTCGCCGCTAACGCTCCCATCTCCAACTGCCGAGAGAACTTCCGGTTCCGGAAGCAGCGTACGTCACGGCTTGTTTTGCGGTCAAGAAAAAGTCGATATTTCATTAATTTTTTGTGTAGAAGTTAATAAACCGAGACGAAAACGGATGCCTGTTCGGCATTCAGTGAACATTGACGGTTTAATGTAAAAGTTATCTGGAAAAAGTAAAAAAAGTCATTTCATGGTCCCTTTAAACTGTGGCCACATTCCCCATACTCTTAAATAATAGCCACAGTTAAATTTTTTTTTTAAATTTTACTGTGGTATAAACATTAACATTCAAAAAGTTGATGTCAAATACACCAGGTGATTGCGTGCACCATCCCACTTTGAACGTGGGCTTTCCTCCTAAGTATGCGATGGCAATATTTGTACTTTCTAAGTGTTGATCGTGGCAGGTTAGCCCCGTTGAGCGCGCTTCTTGCCGAGCACGGGTGCACTGCGGAGAAGCAACACCCATGACACTCTCTTCCACGGACGTTGCTTCTTTGCGGCATACCAATCAGCAATTCGAAAAATGTGAATATTGCAATTAATTTTGAAGCAAATACTGAATACCGGATAATTTGAAACAACTATTTGAATATTTTCACAACCCTAGTCATTACAATAAATAACTTTATCGGAAAGAGCTCGTTGGAATCTGGGTGCAGCTTACCTCGGCGCACGTTGGATGTATGCCGATGGTGGCATCCAAGTCGGCCTTAGTGGCACCCAGCTTCATGGCCGTGGCAAAGCCCTGCGTCACCTCACCAGCATTGGGCCCCAGGTAGTGGAAGCCGAGGATCCGGTCCTGCGAAGTTTCACGATTGCAAACATTTGCGAGCAAAGACGCTACAGCCTTGCCTGCACTAAACCATGTATCGATCCACCTATGCCTTGTCCAGATACAAGTAGGAGGATTGTGTTTTCGAAAAGCAACATCACACAGCCAGGATTAACCACGTCGCCCTCTCAACATGCGGCGGCAGGGCCGCTGGCAAGAATTGCCCGTTTGGTGCCTACGAAGGGCTTCCTGCAATTCTTTCCGAGCTGTCACGTCCGTCCTTTTGCAATGGCACCATTCCACCTTTTCACGGCTCATGACAATGTCGGTTTGAAGCATTTATGCGCAACGAGCTGTGGAGGAGTTGACGGCTCTACTGAGGAGTTTTCAATTCTCACTCACCCGTTCGGGAGTCAGGCAGACAACTTTGACATAGCCCATGTCCGTCCCTCGCTTCGGAAGAGTCCACTCCAGGGGTGTGAAGTTTGCATGAAAAACCTACGCGAAACAGTAAATCGCTCGTTGAGGCACCACAAAATAGACGCAGCACTTGAAAAGAAAAAATAATGTATTTAGCCACGACAAACTTGTCAAGCTAACATTATATGCAAAATGTAGATATCGCGCCTCAATCTGGTCACTTCAATACACCCAACCAGCCCTGTATTTTCAGGTAAACAGTCGAAAGCATGACCACATTACTCGCGTTTGCTCACGACCAAGTTCTTGCAATCTCTTACGACAAGAAGACACGCTGGCGGCATCTATGAGGTGGCCCTCGAACTGCGTTTCACTACAGCGAAGGTCTTGCGGTATTTGCAAGATCTGAACCATGCATGAGAAATGATCCTTTATAACACTGTCAAAAGTCTTTGAGCCGAAAGGGAAAGAAGAACGCACAAAAAATAGAAGTTTCCAGTGTGTTCTGTCGTCGCAAGAGATCACGAGAGGTCGGAAGGCACTCGGTCGTGAGCAGTCACAAGTGTGTGAGCCAGCTAGCCCTTAAAAACAATAGATTAGAGAAAAAGAAAAAAAATCGAAAAGCATACAAACAAAGTTTGTATGCATTCGGCAGCTTGCTAGGGCATTGTAGAAGCTAAGCGCAAGCCTGCCGTATACACCGGAAAGAGAACACGCACAAACCGCACCTCTATGTTTTCCTCTCCAAACTTGCTGATGGCGTCCTCTTCCGAGTAACCGATGCAGCCGTACTCGATGGGCGTGAACACTGTCGTCGGCACGTTGGTGTAGTCGCACTGCGCAAAGAGAAGGCACCGCAATTACCGAGAACTCCCGGGACCGAGGCAGAAGAGGGACGCACTGTCCTACTGCACGCGTGGGAGCGCTCGTTCTAACATCTCCCAGATGACAATGCGGTTTAAGGCTATGGCTTTAAAAAACAACTTCATTTTTATTTGTGAGAAAACAATGCAGTCCTCTTCATTATCACCTGTAACAGCCCCTGTCAACATACATACCCACACAAAATCCTCTTAAAGGGCAACTCCGCTTTATTTTTGTTTTTAGGAAAACAATTCGGTCCCCTTCAGTCTTACCTAGAAAGAGCGCACGTCAAGTATTACGATGTAGTTCTGCCCAAATATTTCTTAAACGGTCCGGCAAACTTTGCAACTCGCCAAGTTGCCGAAATCGGCCGACTCGAGCGGGCGAATTGAGGCGCAACCAACAGTGCAGTCAAGGCTACGGCGTGGGCGTAGCCAACATTGAGCTAAGCGTCATCACCATTGCCCTCTTTTGCTTGTGTTTACTTCTCCAGGCAAGCGTGACGAGTGACGTCAGCAACGTTTCCTCTCGGCGCGCCTGTGCAGCGAGCTTCTTGAAAGCCGTCCGCGGCCGCCCTGCCGTGGTCCTGCCGTTATCGCCGTCTTTCACGTCACACCCGCCGTCGTCGTCTCACCGTGTGTGGTTATCGTCTCTGGGAGTTTCGTCCACACCACAGACACTATGTGCGCAGACTTATACCGCAGTCGTTCAGACGTCGTCGAATGTCGTAGACACCAAAATGTGGTAAAGGGTGTGGTGCAGACGACACTTGCACCTGGCACACATCCGCCCCAATCCCGCCCGTCGTTGCGTAGAGGATCACGTGACATCTCATACCACGTGACAGCCATGTTCTTAGCAGCCCGAAGCCAATGTTGCCAAACAGAGTTGAAGTTTCGGTTTCGATTTCTGCTTGTGTATAAAATTAATAGACCATTTGCAGTCCTCCCAAGCGCCCCGGCGCGCGCGCGAGGAATCTTGGGATCGGTGTTCTGTCGGCCCCCGTCGTCTGGCTGCTCTCCGTTGGAATCGCATCACCTCGCTCTAGACATACTTTTCATCTTCGTTGTTTATACTTAATAATCCTCTTTTTTATCTACTCCAGTGTATTTTTCTTGTTCATAAGTGTATCTATTTCGTTCAGCGCTTTGTATTTCTTCTGTATATTACGTGTTTTTGTGCATATTCCATCGTTTTCGACGCGGCCGTCGACGGACACCACGCCGCTTCGTTCGCCGCTCCCGGGGTGAGTACTGACTGTTGCCGTTACGCTCTATCCCGCTCCTAGGCCGTTCATTTAACTCGTGTGCGGTCGCGAGAGAGCAGTTTCGAACATCACTACAAATGTCACCGCTGTAAGCAGAGAAATAAAGTAGTCATCACGAAGCGAAGGCCGACATGCCTTCGCTTCGTGATGCGCTCGCCCTGTGAAATGTGAGCGTGGGATATCGAGTACTGCTTGCGTGCTCAACATTCGGGACGGTGCTTTGTCGTTGCGATCTTTTTGCCCTTCGGACGCTTGCGAAGCTGTACCAGCGGTCGGCGTGCCTCGGCAGCGCTCGTCAACAACCGTCCGCGCGGCGTCACTTTTCTCGCGTTCGCTGACCGTCCGCGAGCGCCGGTGATTCATCGTCGCGGCTGGTATGCGTATGTAGTACATCGCATAGCTTCACAATCGCTCTTAACAGCGGTTGTGAGTTGAGCGGGCCCTTAGCAAGCGAGTTATGTCAGCAACTGCAACTTTGAAACTGATGGTCACTTCACTTATTTATTTCACTATTCGAGATGTCAGCTGAATGTAGTATCTTCTTAGGTCACCCTCAGAAGCCACATGACGGGCGGTACAACCTGCTGTGTACCGGGCTGTGCCCACACCACTCTCACTGCCAAGCATGTGTCCTGGAATCGCTTTCCGAAGAACAGCCATCTACGCAACATTTGGGTACAGCGAATCAACAGGAAAGGTATTTACCATATTTTTTTACTTGTTATCTACACTTTCCTGACAATGATCAGGAAGGTACAGTGTGTGTACTGTCCGACGTGGCCCAAGTCATTTTACCCATATGTACAACATACCTGCGAAACACATTTTTTTTAAAAATAAAAATAGCATTCATTATTTTTGACCTATAAGTGCAACATACGACTGAAACAAAAAAGACAATCTCAAAGAATCCCAGATGTTGCATGTGCCCTTTTCACTCTCTTGGCCACTTCCACCTGCACCGACATACCAATATTTGATTGCATCGCAGGAATGTCGCTTCATCTCACTACCCTACAGCTAAAGCAAAGATACTCTCACAGTGCTTCTATCATTTTCAGCGTGCATCCACTCCAGGTTTGTTAGGCATAAACTATGTGCTTGTTCTTAGTGCCCGCTGCACAATGGTACTGGAAGTGTTTAGAAGGCGGTGGGGTGACGATGGGGGAGGAGGAGAACTGAATTCTACCCCCTTGCCCGGATAGTTTACTGACGCCCCTGTTCAGACGCCACGGCTGCTGCATCCATTCTTACCACTGAGATTGAGTTGCACTTGCTCCAAAGTTGAATGGGTGAATCTTAATATGGTGCTAACTGCTTCTTTTGCATGCAGGTACCACTGGACGGTTCTCTCTGTGGACGCCAACCTCTGACAGCAGAATATGCGGCGCTCATTTTAACGAAACTGGGAGAAAGAAGTACGAGGACAAAGCTCCCCGGTTTTTTCCAACCAGGACATTTCCGAAGTGTATGTTATTTGCCTATTTTTGTTTCTTTCTGCAATAGTTGTTTTTCCCTGCTTATATTCTTGCTTGTGATCACTGTATACATGGGTCGTTTCTCACGTGAGCTACGTCACTGCTGGTGGCGTCTGGTGATTTGTGGACAGCGGTGCTACCCAGTGAGCATGGCGAAATACGTGACCTACGGAAGCAATCATCGCTCTCATAGAAAAAGACGGAGCTTCAAGCAATCGTAATGTCAGATTTTGTAGAGCTGCAGACATAATAACAATGTTTTGTCTGAATACATGAGATCTCTCAACGGCTAGACGACGCAAATGGACTGCAATCGAAAAGAGGTTTTGCGACGTGCGGTTAAGTAGCATCAAGGATATCACTGAAACTGAAAAAGTATAACATTCTCGTCCGTCATTAAATTTGCAGTGGGAATAGGTGGCATATAAACCTACTGACTGCCTTTTTCAAGGATTTGGCTTGGCTTAGCTAGCTTGCTGCTCAAGGCACCAGGGGATGTCGCTCTGCTGCCTTCATCTCTGATGGCCCCAAATGACAGCTTTTAATCCAGCTCTCTCGTTGTGGAAAGTAGTGAAGGCTCTGCATGTTTCCTGTCGTACATTGAAGTGCCAGCTCATCTCGACTCTAAATAACAGCAGTGTGTTTGAACGGTACCAGACGATGCTTCTTTATATTTCCGACTGCTCTATCTGACACAGTCGGTCACAATGCAAGAGGACTTCAGCGAGCTGGAAAACACTCTCTTAGCACATAGAAAAACATAGGAGAAAATGTACCAACATGAATTCTAGAAATATTTTGAGCGAAAACTGACGTCAGGTGCAAGGACTCTATAATTACTGTCCACCGTGTTTGCTTGACTAGGCAGCTTCCTAGTGACCATTCAAGCAGATAGAGTTGGACATGCCTTGTCAGGAGTTTGCGGTCGTAATATGCTTGAGCCAACTGCTTTGTAAGAAGTTGCAGCTGTGCATATCGTTCGTGTCACAAATGGAAACACATATGAATGCGGAAATATAATTATGTTTAATAAAGGGCCCTTTAGGCAAGTATGGACAGCCTAAGATGGCACCGAATATAGTCGATTTCACAGTAACATGGCAGGTGGCAGACTCTATAACCCCTGTGAACTGATTGAAGTGTTGAAGTCAAATGTATGTGACAGCTCTTTACTAGAGAAGTGTACTCTGATTGGCTCGCTTGGGACAAACCTTTTGTTGTGTGCCAAACTATGTTGAATAAGGATATAAACTTTGTTCCCTTCTTTTATACGCCGGTGGCTGTTGAATGCACTTCGTCTCAGAAAGAACTGCAACAATCGCTATTTGGCTACAACATTCCAGACCAGCTACCAAAGGGTAGAAACAGTGACCGCTATTGATCCAGCTGAGCTCTTGGTTGTTTGACATGTTATGTGCTCCGTACAGTGTAAGCTGTGCCCTGTGCTAGACAGAATTCCAGCCGGTATGTAATGCTTATAAAATAATTGCGTGAACAATTGCCTTATCCTTGCCTGCAGATGTTGCGGCCTGCCCAAAGGTCCCAAACATGATCTGCGCAAGGAAGCGCCATGCGCTGCAGCCGCTGCCGGCCTACTTTCTGTCGGACCTTGACCTGGCACAGACCGTGACCCTGCCTGCTAGCCAGGAGCCAGCACAACCCGGCAGCCCCTTGGCCTCCGCTGGTGCCCCTGACACTGATGATGTAATAGCTAGCGGTAAGCTCCTAACATTGAGCATCAGTGTTGCTCGTCTGTTTATTTGGCATCCCTGTCAACTGTGCAGCAGTCCCGATAGGTGCATGGAACACTTACATGCAGTACGTCGAACTTTACAAACTGTACTAACTCAGTCACCGCTGGCTATAGCACGCAAGTTGTGGCCGTTCCATACTCGCAGCACCATATGGCACGGTGCACTCTAAGATACCGCACATGCAAGGTACCCGCGGAGTTGTTCTTTCAGATTGCGGTCACACCCTCACTTCATTGTCTGCCAGGTACAAAGGAGATGCTGCCACAGCCCTGCTTGCATGTTATTTGCCTCAAGATCCAGATTGAAAAGTGGGGACACATGCTTTTGTTTATCCATTGTTTCCTACAAGACAAGCGGCGATTCTCTGGCGTCCACAAAAAAACCATCCCCACTTTTGTTATGGAGCACGGGCAAGGCTATGCATGCTCTTAGAATTCGCAGTTGACTCCAATGCATGCGCACGAACGCTGCACCGGAGCCTCTCAGGGCTTCGAGTTAGCGTCCGCAGCATTCTCCGTGCTCCAAGTAAGTGTAGAACAAAGCTTAGTTCCGCATTTCCCCGCAGCACCCCTGACGATCGGATCTCAAGGCGAATAGCCAGCATTCCCATTATAGCTCCTTCGTGTGGAACAGAGCAGCATTAAAGAGGTCATAAACCGACTCAGTTACTTCTGCTAAATGCTGCTGTCGCACAATAAAGCTTGAGAACAAGCAATATTCTGCTCTTCCTCACAGCCAGGTAAAATAATCACATGATTACTGTTAGGGGTTAGCTGCTACTGTTGGCGCAGTGATTAGACACAAGCCCAAGCCCCAATAGTTACCATGGCATTGATTGTAACCAAATAGTCAGGTGCTCACTCAGTGCTTGGGTCCAGTTCATAAGCCGTCTGTATTCAAGTGTCGTCACCCTGGTGTGAACCCTAGGCTTTCTCAACATTGTGATTTCTGACTGTAAATTAGCCTTCTATTCCTCAGAATATAACCTTGGCAGGGGAGCCTCTGGTTTGTGGTATATAGATTATTATATAGATTATATTTGTGCTACAGACGTCAGTATGCTTGTATGAGGTGCAGAACATCCAAATGCATATCGTTTCTTGGCCCCTTTAACATGTGATGCTTTTTTTGTATGGCACATGATATGCTATTTGGCAGAGCCAAGGCAATTACAAGGAGAAAGCCTAGTTTTTTGTTTTGATATTTGACTGCAAAAATGATGTGATATTTATTTTGCTATCTCCCCATCTGGCAGACCACCAGTACAGCATCACAGGATGTATCGATCAAGCCCTGCGTGATCGCATCAGGCAG